CCAAGAGGAAAGCGGTTGCTGCGGTCTGTTTATTTTGGGGGGGGTACGCCCTCGCTGATGCCGCCGTCGATGCTGCAGCAGCTGCTGCAGCAGATAGAGGCATTCGAAGCAAAGCTGCAGCAGCTGCTGCTGCAGCAGCAGCAGCTGCGTGCAGCACTACACCATAAACACAGCGCACCGTCGTTGATGCAGCAGCAGCAGCTGCTGCAGCAGCAGCAGGAGGAAAAGCAGCAGCAGCACGAACAGCAGCAACCGCAGGGTGGACTGCAGCAGCAGCAGCTGCAGCAGCAGCTGCAGCAGCAGGAAGAAGAACAGCCTGAGGTGTCAATTGAGATATACCCAGGTACCAATGAGGCGCTTGCTGCTGCTGCTGCTGCTGCTGCTGCTGCTGCTGCTGCGCTTGAAGGTCTGCTGCTGCTACAGTTCATCAGTGCAGCAGCTGCTGCTGCTGCATCTTGCCTGCATGCACTTCACGCTGCCACTAATATCCCGTTGTTCCTGCGTCTGCTGTTTCTGCTGCTGCTGCTGCTGCTGCTCTTGCTGCTGCTGCTGCTGCTGCTGCTGCTCTGGCTGCTGCTGCTGCTGCTGCTGCTGCTGCAGGTACACTGGATAGAGAGCTGCTGCAGGCTTACTTGTCTTTGGGGGTCAATCGGTTTTCCGTTGGGGTGCAGACGCTGCACGAACCCACGCTCAGGCTGCTGGGCAGGCTACCAGCAAACATCAGCAGCAGCAGCAGCAGCAGCAGCAGCAACAGCAGCAGCAGCAGCAGCAGCAACAGCAGCAGCAGCAGCAACAGCAACAGCACGTGCAGCAGTTCATGCAGCAGCAGCAGAAGCAACTGCAGTGACAGCAGCATCATCAACAACAACAACAACAGCAGCAGCAGCAACAGCAGCAGCAGCCCATGCAGCAGCAGCAGCAGCCCATGCAGCAGCAGCAGCAGCAACTGCAGCAGCAGCAGCAGCAGCAGCAGCAGCAGCAGCAGCAGCAGCAAGACATCTAGCCACAGTCGTGACAGTCTGCATGCACTTCGTTTGCTTCGGGATTTTGGTTTGCTGCAGCAAACATCTGTTGATATAATTTACAGTGTACAGACACCGCAGCTGCTGCTGCGCGATCTGCTGCTGCTGACGAAGCTGCCGCTCGGCCATCTCTCTCTCTATGAACTCCAAGTCAGACCACACACTCACATGCTGCTGCTGCTGCTGCTGTTGCTGCTGCTGCTGCTGTTGTGGTTGCTGCGGTTGCTGCTGCTGTTGTTGCTGGGCTGCTGCAGTTGCTGCTGTTGCAGTTGCTGCTGTTGCAGTTGCTGCTGCTGAAGTTGCTTCTGCTGCAGTTGCTGCTGCTGCTGTTGCTGCTGTCGGAGTTGCTGCTGCAGCGGTTCGTGCTGCAGAGAAGCAGCAGCAACCATAGTGGCAGCTGTCTGCAGCATCATGTATTGAACGGAGAGCACCAGCAGCAGCAGCAGCAGCAGCAGCAGCAGGAGAGGGTGCAGCAGCAGCAGCAGCAGCAGCAGGAGTTGTTTATATATTTATTTGTGCATGCGTTGCAGCTCGACGAGGGCTCGCGTTTCTATAAGAGGCCCCCAGAGGGTCTGCCTGACGCAGACACCGCAGCTGAAGCACTCATTGCTGCTTCTCGGTCAGCAGCAGCAGCAGCAGCAGCAGCAGCAGCAGCAGCAGCAGCAGCAGCAGCA